CAACGGACTCCCGCCCCCGACTACCGAACGCTCCCGACAAATCGGCACTCCCCCCAACTAACGAGTGCTCCCCCCCAATAACAGGCCCACCCCTGGTGGTTCGGGGCACCCCCCTCGACCAACGGCTCCCCGTCAATAACGGGCAGCTTTGTAGGCACTCCCCTGTTCGTACGCACCTGTTGGCGCCGTGTTTGGACGATGCAGTGCTCCAGGGAATCATGCAGGATAAACTGTATTTCCCGGACAGCTACACTGTGTTCCCTGATTTCATACACAGTTTGATGAGATACGTTCAACACTGATTCTCTCGTCGGATTCACTGTACTCTCGCATCAGGTACACCATATTTCCTCGTTATTTTCACTGTCTCCTCTCATCAAATTTGCTGTATTCCCTGATCCGATTCACTGTCTTTCCTGACCATATTCACTGCATTGTATTCCATCATCATTTTTACTGTATTCGATGTCCAAGTCAGGTGCTTGGCGCTATGCCGCGGGATTTCCTGAGCCATTCGCCGCCCCAGGTGTGGCACGTTGCTGGGTGCTGTGCATGCATCGACCGTAAACTCCTGCAGGTGCTTGCGTGTTGAACGGAGCCTTGTAGAGGGAGATCCAACTGGTGGGGTCCACAGCGTTATCGACCCCGCCAGTGGGGTAGCGGCGCATGTTCCCCACCAACCGTGGCACCACCAAAACTGCGCCGTTTCGGCCTCGCGATGGAGCCCTGCAACGCCACAACACGTTCGCTGAAGATCGGTGCTGATTGGAGTCTTGTAGAGCGAGCTACAGGTGGTGGGGTGTAGCGTTAACCGCCACCGGTGGGGTGGTTAAGAAATTACCCCACCGGTGGGGTGTTTACCGTGCCGAAAATCTCTTCGTGTTCAAAGCATTTGTTGCCCCATACAACCAAGACGCGCGTGACCAATACAGTCCACATCCTTCGTTCGGTGCGGCAAGTGTTGGTGGGTCTGCGAACATTGGTATTGGACACATGTGCTGGATGATTTGGTGTGACGCATACTGGTAAGATTGGCGTTTGGTAAGGGACACCGCGATGGTTAACGGGGTCCCTCCTTGCTGTGGGAGCCGCTCCANGAAGTTAATACATCACCAAAACAGTCTCACCCGATAAATAAGTGGCGTAGGCCGCAAACACTCTAGAGTTGTTTTTGCCCCTCGAGGAAAGCCACATGGGGATGAGCTCTGCTGGAGACGAACAACGCACTGCTGCGAGCGGAGAACAGATCCGCCCGCCGGTGCAGGAGGGCAGCGATGCGGAGCTTGCAAGTTTGCAACTGCAGGTTTCGCGATTGGCGGCCCTGGTGGGGGAGTTGATAAAGAGGGAGCCTGGCAGCGTCGTGGCGGATGCAGTCAGTAGTGGCGGCTGGGTTGCCGCCATCGAAGGCCAAAAAGAAGAGCCCATGCAGCCGCTCGGCGGTGGCGGGGGATTTCTTCAGCAGCAAGCGAGAGATGGTGGGCAAGGACCACGGCAGCTGCTGGAAGGCGGCGGGGCCAGCAGATCGGGAGCGAACCCTGTTGGACCAGCCGGAGTGGGCCCGGGCATAGGACCGGACTACGGGGGAGCGAGGGGGTTAANGCTGCTGGAAGGCGGCTGGGCCAGCAGATCGGGAGCGAACCCTGTTGGACCAGCCGGAGTGGGCCCGGGCATAGGACCGGACTACGGGGGAGCGAGGGGGTTAAACCCACCAGGTGAGACACCCGTGATTCGAGGAAATGGAGAATTCGTCGACGGCTACAGCAGTAGCCACATGAAGAGAGTAACAGTCCATGCCCCGCGTCTCGAAGGGGAGAGTCGCGGCCATGGGTAGACTCTTGGAAAAAGTCGCGTATCAAAGCGGCAAAGACTGTTGGACTGGACGGCCAATTGATCAGCAACAACGAGAGACATGCACCTGTCGGCAACCCAAACGTGCCAAGCTCGGAGCTGTACCGCCTCCAATACACCAGCGACGAGGTCCAGAGG